TTCCCACCCCAGGCAAGCCCCCACCACCCCAGTGTCTGTGTCCATTAGTTATGCTAATATGCATGCATACAAGTCCTTTGGTTGCTCTCTAACGCCCCCCCCCCATCTCCCCTGCCATTGCCCATCAGCAGATGAGTGGATTAAAAAACTGTGGTACATCTACACAATGAAATACTACGCTGCTATAAAAAAGAACTTTTACCATTTGCAACAGCATGAATGGAAACTGGAGAGCATTATGCTAAGTGAAATAAGCCAGTTGGAGAAAGATAAATACCACATGATCTCACTCATTTGTGGGATATAATGGATCAACATAATTTGATGATCAAGAATAGATCTTGTCCATCTTTGCAGTTGTTACCTGTGGCAAGATTACTGGCTTTGGTGTTTCAGGCCTGAGTTGGATATCCAGCTTCTGTTATTTCTTGAATGAATCGGGGGCAAATCCATTATCTCTTAAAGCCTTGATTTCATGATCTATAAAATGAAGATAAAACCAAATTTATACGTTGCTACAAAGATCAGAAAAAACATATCAAGTGCCTCATACAGAGCCTGGTCAAAATAAGTGGTCAGTCACACCTGCTTGTGTTGTTGCTGTTAGTGCTATTCTTATTACTAGTATAATTATTATGTTGCTGATATGTCTGAAAATTCCGTTTAGCTGTTTGGAACCTAAGCCATATCCTCCCCCTTTTCAGGCAGTTATTCTTCCTAAATGAACAAAATGACCCCCACCGTAGAGGTCACCGCCAACAGGCATCTGTGGTCTGGCATCTCAGAGTGCTTTGCAGAGTGGGTTCCCCTGCACCAGCCCTTCCTCGGCCTCACTGCCAGGTGTCCGTAGTGTGGCTTCTGGCCCCAGTGCCCGATTGCCCAGCCCCTCCCGCTTCAGAAGGAAGTTGATTCCCATCACTAGCCCTGGCTCTCAGCAAGGTACCTCAGAGACCACAGGTGCTCTGTAGAGACTTGCTGAGCTGAGCCACAAATTCCTGACTCCTCAAAACTGCAGAAGGGTCCTCATGCAGCGCAGCTGAGGCTGTCTTGTCCCCCTGCCCTTCAGCAAAGGAAGTTCATTGAAGTACCCCTTTCAAACACAGGGCACCCGAGTTCCAGAGAGAAAAGGGATTTTCCCAGACTCGTATAGCTGGGTGGCGGTAAGGACTAGAGCAGTGGTTCTCAACCTTCTGGCCCTTTAAATACACTTCCTCATGTTGTGACCCAACCATAAAATTATTTTCGTTGCTACTGCATAACTATAATGTCGCTACTGTTATGAATCGCAATGTAAATATCTGATATGCAGGATGGTCTTAGGCGACCCCTGTGAAAGGGTCGTTCGACTGCCAAAGGGGTCGCGACCCACAGGTTGAGAACCGCTGGACTAGAGAGTAGGCACCCTGTCTCATAGCTAAATTCTCACAACAGATATAGGAACATTAAGGGAAATATCCAAGATCACACCACTAGAGCCAGAAAGCCAGGCTTCCTGTCTTCTCTCAACAGCCAAGAATCTAGCAACAGTCTGATGTGGGAAACAGCCTTCCACCCTTCCCTAAGAAAGGCCTCTGTCTTTGTCCTCTGTGGCCTCACTGGCCCCGTCTAAATTCTCCTGCAGCTCCTCATGAACATTTGAGGCGGTGTGCTAAATGGGAAGTTTGACCTGGGCCATGGGTAGCCTTGAGCAATTCCTCTGAGCCTGAGATTCTTCTGCAGAAGCCAGATAATAGATTTGATATAGACCTCACCAGGCGCTGGGAGACCCCAGGTGCTCCATAAGTGGCAGCAATTAGTGCTCATAGGATTTCCTCTCTCCGGGTGAACTGCACCCAAAGTTTCCCAGGCTTGAGTTGGTCCCTCTCCCAGCCTGAGCTTAACAGCGCTCCGGTGAGGTGTCCGCATCTCCTCGTCCTCCCAATATAAATGGCCACCCACAGTGGCGGCACGTGGAATTAGAATGTTAGCCGGGTGCGCCTCTCCATAATGGAGCTCATTTTTTATACGACTGGGAACTTTTTTAATAAAGAAAGATGTAAAATAATCTCATTGCCGCCACTGCCAACCACAGGAAGCATTAGGCAGTTCCCCAGTGAGCTGCTTAATTCAATTTTATTAATTTTGCCACGGAGGTATAGCTCCCCTTCACTAGGGGTCCTCCAGGGGGTGAGGGGGCAGCTGGCTGGGTGGCAACATCTTGGGGCATCACAGGGGACCTTCCACATGATGCTGTAAAAGGGCTCCATCATTGTTGGTGGTGCAGACCCGGCATCTTCCTTTATGCTCTAGGCAAAGCACACAGCTTCAGCCTCCAATGCCTCATATTTTTCATGGGAATCGTCTGCCACACTGTTTTTGCTTCTTCAATTGTATTTGATTACCCCTGGGAAGGCAACCTTATTATAACCAGGCCATTCGCAGCTGAAGTCGTCTCAGCATCATCATTATAAATCCTTATTTCCTACGCTTTAGAATTTGTTTGGGGAGGAGGGAGAGACACACATGTCTCTACTTCCTCTGAGAATGACCATGATCATTTGCTGTCATTTAGTGGAAATAATCGCAACCATTAATTCAGTACCTTCTGTGTGCTCAGCACTCCACTAGGTAATTTACTTAGATTTCTTCAATCCTCTCTCAACAGTCCTTTGTTTTACAGAGGGAGAAATTGAGACACAGAGAGGGAAAGACACTTGCCCAGGGTCATACAGAAGAGCTGGTCACAGATGAGGCCGGAGTCCTGGCCTTAATCCCTAGACCTGAGCCCTGTTTTACCACACGGGGCCCCAGAGGGCCTTTCATTACCTCAGTCCACATGTGCTGTTTTGCATCAGGTGACCTACCTTGTCTGCTTGCTTCTTGGGTCTTCCTTGCTGCTTGTCAAATTTAACCAGTGACTAATGCAAGAGTGAGACAATGTACCCAAATGTACCCAGACTCCAATTAGAGGAAATCCACATTTTAGCTTCAGAGTACCTCGCAGTGTTTCATGGGTAACAGGTACCAAATATAGAAAGAGGACTCCGAAGTATATTTCTTCATTAAAATATGAAAAACCCTGACATCCTGCTACCCTTGTGGGAGCCCTGTATTTCTGACTCTGAAAGGAAATCTAATCGTGTACTGACCTAGTGGCCCAAGTGGAGATCACACAAGGGGCTCTGATGCTGGGGCAAGAGCAGACGTTCCAAAGCTAGGACTGTGTCCTCAAGCGGCCCACAGCCATCAAAGCCAGCCCAGATTCAAACCCACACAGCCCCTCCTGCCCCCAGGGCATCCAGGAAGAAAAAGAAACCTGGGGAGCTGACCAGGGTAAGCAAGAATCCCTAATTGTGGTGAGAGAGGGCAGGAGACATCCCAGCAGGGAAGGGAGGTCCAAAGCCCCAATAAGAGTGGGACTCTTAGAGGACCCCTGAGCATGTGTGGGCACCTTGCAGTGGAGACAGTCAAACCCAGACCCAGTCATACCAGCCACGGGATCTGAAGCATGCCCTTCATGTCCCTGAGCTCTTGTTTTCTCAGGTCAAACACTAGCACAGTGCCTGGCACATCATGAATGGTGTCAGGCATTGATTTGCTGGGCCCACAGGGCCTCTCCCTTTTTAGGAGGGAGTCAAGGATCTGCCTACCATCCTTATTAGAAGAATCACATTAGGAAATGATGTGAGTCATCTTCAGTGATAGCTACTGTTTGCTCAGCACCTGCACCATCCTTATCCTCACAACATTCCTATGGAATTGGCATTATTATTCCCATTTTACAGATGAGAAAACTTCACAGAGCTCACAAGTGGCAGAGCCAGGACCCCAACCCTTGTTGACACCCACGACCTGTGCTGCCTCCTCTATTCAGGAGCTTCTCAGACCCAAGTTCTCAGCATCCAGATTAACCTTCTCCTTCCTCGTACCCCTTCTCCAGGTTCACAATCGGAACCTACTCTCTCTGGACTTTGACCGTGTGACACGCACGGAGAAGATCTATGACGACCACCGCAAATTCACCCTCCGGATCCTATACGACCAGGCAGGGCGGCCCAGCCTCTGGTCACCCAGCAGCAGGCTCAATGGCGTGAATGTGACATACTCCCCGAGGGGCCACATTGCCGGCATCCAGAGGGGCATCATGTCTGAGAGGATGGAGTATGACCAGACGGGCCGCATCACATCCAGGATCTTTGCTGATGGGAAGACATGGAGCTACACGTACTTGGAAAAGGCAGGTGTCTGTTGCCCTCTATCACTGACCTTGCCGATTAGAGGGCCAAGCCCAGTCTGCTGACCTTGATAGGTTAGGTCTGACCCCTGTGGTCTCCAAAAGGAAATGTTCAGGAAAATCTGTAGCAGAGGGCCAGGGGGTCCTGAGAGGCTTCCTTCAGGATGGATCATGGTGATGGCATGGCAGGTGGGGGGTGGGGAGGGGTTCTAGGGCAGGAGAATGTGAAAGTTGCGTGTGATAAAATAGAGCTGGGAACAGGATCGAACACCGCCTCGACTTACAGAGCAAGATTCAGGGTCCCAGAACAGGCAGAGATCTGCTCCCAGGTCTAGGGCACATGGGGTGATCTGGTCACGGAGGACAAAGCAGAAGCCTAAGGATCAATACCTAAGCAGGAAATACTTAATCCTGAGCTTCAAGGGGTATGTGTGGCCTTGGTAAATCCCTTCTTCTTCAGGTCAGGATTCATTTCATCCCAAGGGTGAGGAATCAGAAAGGGCCTGAAATCAAAAGTTGATTCCAAAGAGGAGAAAATGGTAGCGTTGGTACCTAGTTCCCACTAGGCTGCTGACTTATTCCCGAAATAGAGTCTGTACTTCATGGCCCAGTCTTGGTACCCAGATCCTTACTATGTTTCCTACTCCTGGTCATCCCTGGCCCAGGCTCTGCTTGCTCTGTGGCCAGCCTCTCCTGCTCTGTGCTGGGTGAGCATCTCTGAGAGCGATGTTCTGTGGTAGTGCTAAGAGAGACCTTGGAGGTCATCCAGCATACTGAAAAAGCTAGGGCCACACAATGAATGTTGTTAGAAGCCAGGTGTCCCTATTCCCATATGGCCTGTTACTATATAAACAATTGTGCAAGGCCTTAAATGCCTTTTTCAGACATGGTCTTTATCCTGTAGGCCACAGGGAGTCAACAGAAGTTGTTTAGCAGTCAGTAGACATTATCAGACTGTATTTTAGGCAAAGTATTCTTGTTTGAGTAGGAAGATTGATTTCAGAAGGAAGCCAGGAGAGAAGATGCTGCAAATACTTTAGGCCAGTGCTCCCACCTTTGTCACAAGCCATCACATACTAAAGTCATCATTTTTATACCACCCAAAGGGGCAAATTGACAAGGCTTCTCACAGGGCCCCAGGCCCTGCCAGGCCAAGGGATGAGAACAACACTTATCTGATCATATCTGTACCCCATTGCAGTGTCTTATGGAAATATCTGGTCTGGGCATAATTGAGGAGATCCACCAGTTTCCTTGGCCTTTCATTGCTTTCCTTAAGCCTTGGGCAGGCACACAGACCTCCCCTTCCTCCCCACCACCCTGCTCTCATCTCTTGGTTCTCCTTTCCCTCCAGTCCATGGTGCTGCTCCTCCACAGCCAGCGGCAGTATATCTTTGAGTTTGACAAGAACGACCGCCTCTCCTCCGTGACAATGCCCAACGTGGCCCGGCAGACATTAGAGACCATTCGCTCAGTGGGCTACTACAGGAACATCTACCAGCCCCCTGAGAGCAATGCCTTCGTCATCCAGGACTTCACTGAGGACGGGCACCTCCTCCACACCTTCTACTTGGGCACCGGCCGCAGGGTAATATACAAGTATGGCAAGCTGTCTAAGCTAGCCGAGATGCTGTACGACACCACCAAGGTGAGCTTCACCTATGATGAGACAGCTGGCATGCTGAAGACCATCAACCTACAGAACGAGGGCTTCACCTGCACCATCCGCTACCGTCAAATCGGGCCCCTGATCGACCGCCAGATCTTCCGCTTCACCGAGGAGGGCATGGTCAATGCTCGTTTTGACTACAACTATGACAACAGTTTCCGGGTGACCAGCATGCAGGCTGTGATCAACGAGACCCCACTGCCCATCGATCTTTATCGCTATGATGATGTGTCAGGCAAGACAGAGCAGTTCGGGAAGTTTGGTGTCATCTACTATGACATTAACCAAATCATCACCACAGCGGTCATGACCCACACCAAGCACTTTGATGCGTACGGGCGGATGAAGGAAGTGCAATACGAGATTTTCCGCTCACTCATGTACTGGATGACCGTCCAGTATGATAACATGGGGCGAGTAGTGAAGAAGGAGCTGAAGGTGGGACCCTATGCCAACACTACCCGCTATTCCTATGAGTATGATGCTGACGGCCAGCTACAGACTGTCTCCATCAATGACAAGCCACTCTGGAGATATAGCTATGACCTCAATGGGAACCTGCACTTACTGAGCCCTGGGAACAGCGCACGGCTCACCCCACTGAGGTACGACCACCGCGACCGCATCACTAGGCTAGGTGACGTGCAATACAAGATGGACGAGGATGGCTTCCTGAGGCAGCGAGGTGCTGATGTCTTTGAGTACAACTCAGCTGGCCTGCTCACCAAGGCCTACAACCGGGCTGGTGGCTGGAGTGTCAGGTACCGCTACGATGGCCTGGGGCGGCGGGTGTCTAGCAAGAGCAGCCAGGGCCACCACCTGCAGTTCTTCTATGCAGATCTGACCAACCCCACCAAGGTCACCCACCTCTACAACCACTCCAGCTCTGAGATCACATCCCTCTACTACGACCTGCAAGGGCACCTCTTTGCCATGGAGCTGAGCAGTGGCGATGAGTTTTACATAGCTTGTGACAACATCGGGACCCCTCTTGCTGTCTTCAGCGGTACAGGTTTGATGATCAAGCAGGTCCTGTACACGGCCTATGGGGAGATCTACATGGACACTAACCCCAACTTCCAGATCATCATTGGCTACCACGGTGGCCTCTATGATCCACTCACCAAGCTCGTCCACATGGGCCGACGGGACTATGATGTGCTGGCTGGCCGCTGGACTAGCCCAGACCATGAGCTGTGGAAGCACCTTAGTAGCAGCAACATCATGCCTTTTAATCTCTATATGTTCAAAAACAACAACCCCATCAGCAACTCTCAGGACATCAAGTGCTTCATGACAGGTGAGGATCGGGGCTCATTCAGAGGGCAGGGGCCCGTCATCTCTTCCTCTTGTCTGGTTGTTGACACAACAGTCATCCTTGAGAAAGCTGCCAGGGGGTAATGGGAAACTGACTTTATCTTAGAGCAGCATTTTTCAAAGTATATTTGAAGAAACACTAGTTCAGAAAAATGCTCTGGAAAAACTGTCTCTGGCATCAAATCAAATTGACAGGGAGGCCACCATTCTTTAAATTTTCATAATACATTTCAGCTTCTGAAAGGCTCTGAGAAGTCCTGTAGTAAAGAGAATCCTTTAACATATTTACTCATTATTTTTAAACTTTTTTACCATAAAACCCTGTTTTTCACCATGAAAACTTAATATCTCCCTGGATACATTCCTTAAAATGCATTTTGGAAGTTTCCGACCCAAAAATCAAGCTGGCTATAAGTCTCTGAGAAGTTGGATGAAGGTATGGCTTTTTTTTTTAAAAGTGTCTTATTTGGGATGAAGTAATGGAAAATTTAGACTTTGGAGACAGACAGAACTAGGTAAAGGGGTCCACCATGTCTAAGCCATTACAGTCACAAAAATTACTTAACTTCCCTGAATTCCTTATTTGTAAACTGAAGTTAGAATACATACCATGACTTGCAAAAGTTAAAAATGCACATTGTAAATCCTAGAGCAACTACAAAAAAATAAAACAAGGGCATAGCAAATCAGTCAGTAGTGGCGATAAATGAAGACTAAAATATTTTCAATCCAAAGAAGGTAGGCAAAGAGGGACAGAAGGAGCAAAGAACAGACAGACAAATAGGAGAGAGAGAAAAACTTCCCTGGTAGGATGGTTGCAAGGCTAAAATGAGATACATTTTAGGACCTGCCCAGCTCAGTGCATAGCTCACATTGATTTCCTTTCCTCCACCTTCTGATTTAAAAAGTGGGCTTTGCTTTCCACTACTGTGGAACCACCTAGAGTATAAAGTGTCCCATAGGTCATACATGCCAGACATGTCTCCAGCAGTCATAGTCCTCCCAGCAAGCAGCCACTCCCAGCCACAGAAAACCTCAATGTCTGAGTGGCTATGGGGATTCAGGTCTGGAGAAAGCCAGCACTTTTTATAAAAGAGAGCTTGTGGCATATCCCAACTTGTAAACCTAGTAGTCACCACCTCCTTTGTCCTGTGATACAATCCTCTTGCTCCCTATTTTAAGGCAGTTTCATTCATGCAACAAGTGCCTCCTCTGTGCAGCCACTGTTTTAGTCACTAGGGGTAGAAAGATAATCCCTGCCCTCCAAGAATGCACACTGCCGGAGGGGAGGCAGACCACTGCTGTCCAGTGTGAGGGCCCCATGGTGAAGGGTTGCATTGATGGCCATTGAGACACAGGAGGCATAGCTGGCTCTGCTCAGAGAGCAGCTGATATTTGAGGCCCGCTAATGAGTAGACATCCATCAGGTACTAGAGAGGGAACTGCATATACAATAGTGTAAGAGAGCCCTGGCTAGGTAGCTCAGTTGGTTAGAGCTTCATCCTGATATGCCAAGGTTGCAAGTTCGATCCCCAGTTGGGAAATATACAAGAGTCAACCAATGAATGTATAAATAAGTGGAACAACAAATCAATGTTTCTCTCTCTCTCTCTCTCTCTCTCTCTCTCTCTCTCTCTCTCTCTTCAAAATCATTTTTTTAAATAATAGCCCTGGACAGTATGGTTCACTTGGTTGGAGATCATCCCATGCATTGGAAGGTCAAGGGTTCAATTTCCAGTCAGGGCACGTACAGGAGGCAACTGATTGATGTACTTTCTCACATTTATGTTTCTCTCTCTCTCTCTCTCTCTCTCTCTCTCTCTCTCTCTCCCTCCCTCCCTTCCTCCCTCTCTAAAATCAATAAAATATATGATAATAACTTTTTTAAAAGAGCATAGAGAGGGCAATGAGTACATCTCACATGAGAGCCCTTAGGGACATGGCTTCATTGGCCCCTGAACTCGGTAGCCTAGTCTGGACCCTGTTTCTGCTGACAGCAATTGGAGGAATTTCAGGGAAGAATTCCAGGTGGTCATGTTGAGAGAATTCAGGTGGTCCTATTGAGAGTCCCAAGTGGGGAAGAAGAGAACTCAGAAGTGAAGCAGGTGTGACAGAAACACCCTGGGGCCTGCAGATGCCCAGGAGACTTCCCAACAGGCCCACACTCCCCTGCTGCCAGCCCTGGGAAAGCCTCACCAATTGCAAGGACATCTCCATTACATCTGTCTGCATTAACCACACCGCTGCCTCACCCTCCCGGGAGTGTCCTGTGAGACGTCTTGGCAGGTTACTATAGCTGAAAAAAAAAATGGTGCAAAAACCATTTTACTACTAAACACCAAAATACTACAATTCTCATTAAACCTTACCTTTTAGCTTCTACCTGGGCTACATGCAACCTCATTCACATCCAGCAACAACAATAATAAAAAGAGCATCTTATTCCCAAAAATTTCTTCAGGGGTTCTGAGATGTACTCTAATCATCGGATAGGCTTAGGTCACATGACAATCCCTGAACCAATCAGTCACTGTGGCTGGGGAGACAGAATGCATTGCTTGGTTTAGCCAGGTCACATGCTCCCTTACTGAACTTTTAGGTGGAGACTGCGTCCCTAAAACTATATGAGGACCCCATAAGGAAGGAGTGAGCAGGAAGAATGGGGTGCTAGGATGACCAAAAAATGTGCACCACAGATATATCGTGTACAATATTGCACTTGACCCTCACTTAAGCCTGGGAGATGGGGATCACTGACCCCATTTTCAGAGAGGTTGTCACTGGCCCACTAGGAAGTGGCAGGAAGGGGTTAGATGGCTGTTCCATCTGACTCCAAAGTCCTCATCTTGGATTCAGATTCACTTTGTAAAGTGCAACAAAGGGATTCTTATTATTCAGGGGGCCACATTGTGCAGTCTGGGATGAATGAATAGAGAAGAGCTTTTTAACTTGAGGGATGGGTTTACATCCGATGCCATAGAAAGGAAAAGGAAAATTCTCAACCCTTCAGAAAAGCCAATTGGGAAAAAAAAATTATTTCAGCATTTTTTCTAAAGGCGTAATGAGAAAGTTTCCCACCTTCCATCACTTATAATTAAGGCCCAGCCCTGTTTTCAGACCCCTGGTTTCCTGGGACTTTGCAGTATTCCTGGTAGAAAATTTTCTTTACAACTACAAATTCAGATGCATGTTCTCAGCCTCAGGCCAAAAAAAAACCTTAGTCGGGTTCCCACCACACACACACACACCACTTGGTTCTGTTTGTTTTAATTTCCCAAAGAACCATCTGCCAAGATTCATAGAATCAGAGATTCTTAGAAACTCAATGAGGAAAGGGAATTTGGAGAAAAGCTGATCCAAGCGCCTCATGTTACAAATGAGGAAATGGAGGTCCAGGGAGGTGGAGGCATGGGTTTGAGGAAACACAGAAAACTTTCTGTGAACCAGGAGGAGCTGCACCCTTTAAAATACATTCATGTAACAAGCTCACAACAGGCCCTGTTGTCAGGTAGCTGCCCCCAGATGGTGACACTGTTAGTACTTCTCTCCATGACTTAAAGAAAACCACCTCTGCCATCAATTTGTAGGTAAGGAAACAGCCTCAGAATGGTCCAAGTCCACACAGTTCACAGGTTAGGGGCCAGCGTGTGGACCTGGGTTTTGCCTTGCCTCACCATGTTCTTTTCCTTGTAGGATATTTCTATAAGTTTCCAAACTTTCCTTTCTAACCACCCCTCTACCTCAGCGCCTCCAGGTTTCACCCCTCCCAGAGAGGGGCTCTGGGACATACCAAAAAACAAAGACAAAAAGGAAAGTCAAGCACAAGGTTTTTGCAGGGGAAGGCAGTATGGGATGCAGTGGTGAGAGGGACACAATTGTTGATCCCCAAAGAACACTCCCATCACTGGGATGAACTCAGTGGGTGATAGGGAAGACAATTCCACCAAGGCCTGGACCCTAAACAGGGCCTCTGACCAGGGATCGCTCTCCTTTGGAAGAAGCTAAAAGCAGGCCTGGGTGCCCACAGCCCCGAGTTGCTAGTTCTGGGGCTCAGCTCCAAATCCTGCCTCCCCTCGACTTTGAATTCCAAGTCTGTGGTCAACAACTGCTTTATCATCTTCAGCTGCCCCTTCTCAAACCTTGCTCCAACACTCTCTCCTATAGGCCCCAAATCACCTCCTGCTGGCCATCCCAGGCTCTTCCTGGTCCAACCACAATTTCCTTTCTGATTCTTTCTCTGCTGTCTGGGGACCTGAACACTCCCTGCACTTGCCTCCCCTCTCCAGGCCTTGCCTTGTGCATCGGTCTTCTTGAAGTGCCCCCTTTATCTCCATCAAAGCCTGACAGTATTTGCACAGCTTTCAATGTTTGGCTTAAATACCACCTTCTTCATGAAGACACATCAGACTAGCCAACTGAAAGACTTCTGACTTCTCCTCATCTTTTTTTCTTGTGTCAGAGTTCTTCATGTCCATGTCCCGTCTCCCCTTCAGGGACCTGAGTGTGCAAAGGGAGGGTCTGTGTGACACCGTACTAGGCACAGAAAAGGCACCCCGCAACAGTGGGCCAAGTAGCTGGTTGCACACCCTCCATTCTCTTTCTTTTTTTTTCATTTTATTTTATTTTATTTATTTTTTAATAAATCTTTATTGTTCAGAATATTACAGTTGTTCCTCTTTTTTCCCCCCATAGCTCCCTTACACCTGGTTCCCACCCCACCCCATGCCCTTACCCTCCCAACTGTCCTCATCTATAGGTGTACGATTTTTGGCCAGTCTCTTCCCTTATCCCTCACACCCCCTTCCCCCGAGAATTGTCAGTCCACTCCCTTTCTATGTCCCTGATTCTATTCTATTCACCAGTTTATTCTGTTCTTCAGATTTTTTATTCACTTGATTTTTATATTCACTTGTTGATAGATATGTATTTGTTGACACTTTGTTGTTCATAATTTTTATCTTTACCTTTTTCTTCTTCTTCCC